CGCGTTAGTTATATATAATAAATATAATAATAATTAAAAGAATATATTATCTAATTTTTATTAACGCTTTAATACTATTAAAGTAAACATTTGCAAATCTGAAAAGTTCCTACAAAATTTGAAATTGCTGATCGCGCGTTTGTCGCGGAAATTACAAAATCCGCCAATTAGTAAATCTAATTAGAATTTGCTTAAATTTCGCCGGTTCAGTAACTATTCTAATCTTTTCCGCTAGTTCTACTAATTTAATAGTAATATATATAAAAAAAGAAAAGTTCTAATAATTGACGTTGCGATGATAAGATTTTATAGCGATAAGTATTAACGCCAACTTAAATTTAATTATAAAATTGAATAATTTAATGAAATTAGTCGCGTAGGTAATACTCTAATATAGCGTATAATAATACGTATATTAATAATAATATATATTAATATTATATATATATAGAATAGTACTTAGAGTATATTAGAGTATATTACGTAAAATTTTTAAAGTTACTAAAAAAATTTTAAAGTTATTAAACTGGTAGAATTAGCGAAAAGAGTTAAATATAGATAAAGTCTACTTAATAGGCTAAATCGTACTAAATCGTGCTTATGGTGCGGACCCGGCGGAAATTATACGGAAATTCACTTTTAGATTTACAGATAAAGACGATATTTATTAAAGTAAAGATAATATCTATTAAAGCGATGACGATAGTAATTAAAGCGATAATAATATTTAGTAAAAACTTTATTCTAACGCTATATCTAGTACTTTAAAATAATATTAACTTTTTTAAAGAGCTATTAATAATAGATTAAGCGTATATAAATTAAGCTCTTCGCGCGATTTATCTATATATTAGCTTAAAGTTATTAAAAGATAAAAAATAAATATATAATTTAATAATTATATTATATTTTTAATATTATTATAATAATATTAGATTATTTAAATAGAAGTTTAATATATAAAGAAGATAGTTTAATAATAAAAAGAGTTAATATAAAAAAGAAAGTCTTAAAAAAGAAGAAGAAGGAAAGAAAAGCTTAGATATCTATCGTATATACTAAATTTTTAAATTACTTTAAATTATCTAGCTTAAATTAGATATTAATAAAATACTTTCTCTTTAATTTTAAAGATTTAAATTTAAGCGAATTACGCTTATTAAGCGCTATTATCTAATATAATCTTAGCTACTTCTATAATAATTATAATTATTATTATAGCTTATATAGATTAAAAGATAAAAGATCTAAGAGAGCGAGTTAATAAGTAATTATCTTTATCTAATTTAATTAACGTTAAACTACTATAACTTATTAAAATTTTTATATATTCTATTCTTACTTTCTTATCTTTAAGTCTTATTATCTTTATAAAAATAATTATTCTTTAAGTTAAACTCTATAATAATATATTTAAAATAGCGCGCGATATATATTCTCTTTATTTCTAATATCGATACTTACTAGAATTAACGCACTTTTTAATAAAATAAGCTTTAATTAAAATTAAGAATAATTTAATATTTATAGATATTTATATAAATCCTTTAATTCTTTTATATATATCTATTAATTTATCTTTTTATAATAATTAAAGTAGAAGAGATTAAGTCTAATAATTTATTATAATAAATATTAAATACTAATAATAATAGCGATATTAAAAAATCTCGATATAAATTAATTAAACGATAATTAAGCTTTTAATTAAAATAAAAAACGAAAAATAAGTTTAGTTAAAATAAAAATATTAAGAGATCGCGATAGCGAATAAATATATTTATATTTAAGAAGAAACTAATTAAGAAAGTAAAGAAAGCTAATATCTTAGCTATTAATTACGCTATAATTATTAAAAAGCGTAAAGTTAAATATATTAATATATTATTATTATAATAGAAGTAAGCTTTTAAGTAAATTAGATAAAATATAATAAATAAGCGATAAGTAACTTCTAATTCTAATTATCGTTTTAATAAATTTATATTTTAATAATATTATATAAAGAAAGTATACGAGCGTAATTACGAAGAAGTCTAAAGTTTCGTTTATTACGCGAATTATTATATATATAAATAAAGATAAAAGCTCGAATTAGAAGAAAATAAATAATATCGAAATTAAATAAAATATAAGTATTAAGAATAATTTTATTATACGCGCTAATAATTAAATAAATCTTATCTTTTAAGCTACTTAAGAGTATAATATAGAACTTAATAATAAGCGCTATTATAGTTTAGATATAATAATATTAACGCGCTAGCTAATAAGTATTAAACTATTATAAAAATCTTAAAATATTAAATATAATTATATTTAAAGAATAGAATTATAGATCTTTATTTATATATAATTAATCTAATATATAATAATAAAAAGTTTATTATAAAAGCTACGCTATCTAAATCGATATTCTAATCTTAATTATTACTATCGCTATTATACGAGTAATATAAAACTATCTTTTATTTAAATATATTTAATTCTTAATTCTAATTATTATTATAGATATCGTTAATCTATTCTAGAATTATTAAATATACTTTTATATACTTTCTATATTTAATCTTTTTTTTATATATCGCGAGAAGATAGCTTAAAGAAATATAACTTATTATATTAAGCTATAATACTTTCGAGAGAATATTAAGAAATATATTAACTTTTCTAGACTAGCGATTTAGTAAGAAGGCTATAATTATAATATATATAATTTTATACTAGATAGCGATATTGAAAATACGTAATAGATGTATAAAATTATCGTTAACGACTTTAATTACGAAGTGCTAACGGATTTTATATAACTAATATTAGAGAAAGATAAATTTTTCTTATTATTAGTAGATATAGCTCGCTTTCTTTTATATATATAGAGTAATAAAATATAATCGCATTTAATTCTATATCTTATTAATTTAGCGTAGTCGTTAATTAGAATAATAATTAGAATAGCTACTTCTAAATATAGAAATCTTAATTAAAATATCTTATATATATATTATACTATAATATAATATTATAGATATACTATATCGTAGAATATACCGCTAAGATTTTATATTATACTAGATATAGAATTATATAAATCTTAATAATCTATATTATATTAGAGTATAATATAATAGATTAATATCCCATATCATATTATATCTTTTCGACTAGTATATATATTATTATATATTTTAACTCTAGTATATACTCTATTTTTTATAATTAATTTATTTTAAATAGATATCTAATATAATAAGATAAGCTATTCTATAAGAAACGTCTTTTCTATAGATAATATATTTATATAATTAAAAATACTTCTCTATATTAGAGATAACTTTTAGAATAATAATCTAAGAGTACTATTTATATCTCTATCTACTTTATCTTTATAAAATAAATACTATAACTTTAAATAGAAGACTCGCTCTTATAATTTCTTAATATTAATTTTAATTAGAATATTAATTTAATAGTATATTAATATATTATAATAACTAGATGAGAGAATAATATAATATTAATAGATTTTTAATAATTAATTATAATATAGAATAGAATAGATAGATAGAGTATATATAATATTTACTTTTATTTTTATCTTCGTAATCTATCTATATAACTCTTTAAGTCTCGCTATTATTTTATAACTTAAATTAAAAAAGATATATAAAGCTAATTATAACCTCTATCTTTTTTTAAATTAACTATTCTAAATTCGAAAATAAAATCTATTATTATAGACTATCGCTCGCTTAGCCTTAATTAACTTATTATATATTCTTTATTTTATACTATATATTAATAGAGATATATATAAAAATAATATAATAATATTTAATAATATATCTTTTAAAATTATATCTTAATAATATATTTTATTTAATATTATATTAATATACTATTTAGCTAGAGATATTATTATATAAAATACGAGTAAAGATCTATAAATTAAATTCATAATCATTTTTTTAATTAGGGCTATCGAGTAAATAGGTGAGCGATCTTTGATAAGCGAACTTTGGTGGGCTATTCGGCTGTCGAGCGAACTTTAATAAGCGATATTTAAATTCCTTGCGCTTTAATAATTATAAGATCAAATTTTAAAATTTTTTTATTATTAAAAAGCGCAAGTTTTAAGCTATAATTTAAAAAAAAATCTTAAAATTTTAATAGAAAATAGTAAAGTTATTAAAGGGTTAAAAGTAGAGAGAGAGATTTTTAATAGTTACGAATACTAATTTATTTACTTACGATATCTAATTAAAAAGCGTAAATCTAACGAATTTATAATTGACTATATATATAAATTTAAGATTTTCTAATTTAGTCTTATCTTCTTCTTTTATATATATTAATAATACTAATAAGCTTCGAAAGTAACTCGAGAAGTCTAATAGATTTAAGATAGATTTCGAATAGATATACTCGACTAATCTTTCTTATACGAATCGTCTACTTTTCGCCTTATATATAGATAGACTCTCTAAGATATATCTATATATATATTAATTATAAATATTTATTATTTTAGCGTACTTAGTTTTATTTTATTAAAAAATAAGACTTAAAGCTTATTTTTAAATAATTTAAAAATATATTTTAAAAATATAATAATCGAACGATACTCTATATATATATAACGCTAAGTTGAAAATAAGTAGGGGTTATTTTTAAAATATGTGGTTACCGAACTGGCCCTTAGTTATTAACGATAGGATCGAGAAGATCTTCTGATCTAGGGATATCCTAAGTGAGAAATCTTCTAGAATCTAAAAATACTCCTAGGATCTCTATAAAATACGATATTATTTTACACTATAGCTACTTATACCCTATGTCTTATCAATACGGGTCGAAATATTCTATGTGCATAATCCTGCCAAGACTCTCCAGAGATGATTAGTAAAACCCCCCTGCCGACCTTAAAGTATTCCCAAAGAATTTGACCAAAACCCAACCAAATCCCAAGATATGCTCATTCGCGCAACTGATTCTCCGGTATGGGCGCAAATCAGTCATCAGATGCGGGCGGTAGCAGTCAATCTGGGGGCTGTGGGCGGGGAGCCGCTGGTGGGGTGAAAGCTTGCTACTATGAACTTCTTGGGATCGATCGTCAAGCTTCTGAGGATGAGTAAGTGCAGAAGAATTTGAAGACCAGTCTTCAAGCTGACATGCCGACAAGGATCAAGAAAGCGTACCGCAAAAAGGCCTTGGAGCTCCATCCAGATCGCAACTATGGGAACGTCGAGGCAACCACAAAACAGTTCGCAGATGTGCAGTCAGCCTATGAGGTTCTATCAGACCCGCAAGAAAGGGCGTGGTACGACTCACATCGAGATGCAATATTGCGTAACGAAGACGAGGTATCCGGGGAGCGTTATGAATACAATGTCCGGATCACAACAGCCGATGATATACTTGGGATGTTCACAAATTTTCGTGGGAAATTAGATTTCACAGACTCAGATACGGGTTTCTACACTGCCCTCAGACGGGCTTTTGATACTCTTGCAAGGGAGGAGGAGCTGGCCTGTGAATGGGAGGGGCTTGATCCTATCACATATCCTTCCTTCGGCCACGCAGACGACGTCTACGATGACGTTGTCAGGCCATTCTATGTTGCATGGAACGATTTTGCGACTAAAAAGAGCTTCTCTTGGGAGGACGTCTATCGTTACTCCGAAGCCCCAGATCGACGGGTAAGACGGATGATGGAAAAAGAAAACAAGCGCTTTCGAGAGGAAGGTATTCGAAATTTCAACGACGCGGTTCGATCACTCGTAGCGTTCGTGAAAAAGCGTGACCCCAGATTCAGGTCCAATACACAAAGTGAAGCCGGAAGGCAGAAGTTGTTGAGGGACACTGCTGTCGCTCAAGCAGCTAGATCAAGGGCAGCTAATCAAGCAAAATACGCGCAACAGGAACCCATGCCAGGATGGATGAAATCCAGCGAGTCTCAAGAGCCCGAGGATTCTGTCGAGTCTGATGAGGCCGCCGAGGAGCAATTTGAGTGCGTGGTGTGCAAGAAGAGCTTCAAGAGTGAGAAACAGTACGAAGCTCACGAGAAAAGCAGAAAGCACGTCAGGGCCGTGCAGCATCTCAGAAGGCAGATGCAGCAGGAAGGTAGGGATCTTCACCTCGAGGAGCTAGATGAGACGAGTACACAACAGCCAGACGCCAGTAATGTCATGGAGTCTGAAGAGGCTGATGTGGTGCCTGATGCGGAGGCCGCGGTCGAGCAGAGGGATGACCTTAATCTCTTGGATGGGCAATCCGACCAGCAGTCCGACGTAGAAAGGCTGGACGGTTCCAAAGCAAGCCCTCGAAAGTCTCCCGATGACATCTCAGGTCTAATCGCAGTCGACGACCCGCCGGGAAGCTCTTCAGATGACGAGTACACAACACGTGAAAGATTAGAGAAGCGTATTCTCGGTGGTCCAGAGGAGGCAATTCACGAAGACATCGATCATTTATCCGAAACCCTGGCTTCGAAGTCGCTGAACCAAGACAGTGATGCGAGTGCGCAGCCGAGGATAGGCAAGGCTAAGGAGAAGCGAGCTAAGAAAGCTGCTCAGAAGTCGACAGCAAATGCAGGACCCGAAGCAGGTTTCAAGTGTGCCTCCTGTCAAGCTGGGTTCCCCTCAAAGACAAGGCTGTTCAATCACATTAAAGACCTTGGTCACGCACAGCCTGTTTCTAAGCCTGTAAAGGGAGGGAAGGGAAAGAAGCGATGAATCCGAGGCGCAGAAAGGCAGCATTTGACAGGGGGAGACTATTATGTGAGAGAAACGCAGCTTGTTCGTTCTAATTGAGCCTTTGCATAGCGGTGGCGTTGGATTAAAGAGACTAGATACCCCCACAGCTTCGCACGCTGATTGAGAGCATTACACTGCATACCAATGATAATCCAGAGTTTTTCCCGGCGCATCATATGAACTAGCAGAAATCGCACTTGTTCTCCTAACTCTACCCCTGAGGCTACTTGAACTCATTGTTGTCAAGCAACCATAAATCGAATATCAGAAAACCAGAACGCTGTACTTACCTATCTACTTCAGGCCCTTGTCATGTTAATTTAAGCGTCAAATGCCGCTATGTGGCCCCCATCAACTACCTTAGTCAAAGAATGTGTTAGGTTGAGAGTAATCGGCACTGCGGATTACTTTTTAAGCAATTAATCAAAAATGTGACATTTACCTACTACCAAATCTTGAAATCATAGCCGCTTTCTACACTTCACACTTCACACTTCACGCTCCTACCAGATGCAGCCTGGCAAACTAGGTAGGAAACGTCATCCGAGAGTGGCCGTGAAGGGTAGCTTTTGGCTCGCGTCATCCGCGAAGAAACAATTTCGCTCCCTGACGACTGAGAGAGGAGAGTCCGATACTCATCACTGTCCATTATTATCTGCTCTATCTCGCTCCAAGTAGAGGTGATTCTTTCTTCAATTCCTTGAGCTGTAAAAGCTCAGGCGTATGACCGTGCCTCTAATGGGCATCTCTCTATCCTGCCGGCTTCGCACGTTGTGCAAGGTACTCCAGCGACGCCCGGAACAGAGGGCTAGCCAGCCTCAGCTAAACGATGCACATGCAGATACAGATACAGTAATCCGTATACACCAGTGGGAACACACCCGACGAGCTGCGAAAATAGTGAACTTAGCCCAAACCTGACCTGCTAGTCTTTACCACTTGCGCTACGGGCTGCACAAGACCTCTGTTATTGTTCAAAGCACCGAGTGCTGTGCCGGTACTCCAGCCCATCCTCTCCAGCATCGTCCTCCCTCTGTTTTCCTGGCCGATTTCGGGAGCCGCGGCCCCAACGACCTCACCGTCTCGGTAGGAAACACTAGCACTGGCAGCTCCACCACGGCGGCCCCTGCCTGCCAGCGCACCCTTCTTTCTTGCTCCGTCCATGCGCGGAAAGAAGCGCCCCGAAGACAGTACAGATTCCGCGGCCTTCAAAGTCTCGTCATTGTACTGGATCGTTCGAGAAGTCCTGTAGAGAACAGGAAATCGAGATTTACCACCGCCGATCGATTTGGACTTTAATTTGAAGGCATTGGCAATCTCATGCACCATTTTGCGATCTCCCTGAGCCATTGGTGGAAGCGGTAGACTGGATCTCTTTCAAAATTGATGATAGGCGGTGAAGCTGAAGAGACGTACCTTTCCATTGATGATTGAAGGAAATCCCTAATCTCCTTCTTCACCTCGGTCATTGATATACCCTCAGAGTACTTGGCCCTCAAATCAATTTTGTTTTTCTTGCCCAAGAGTCCTTGCGCCCGAAGCTCTTCACGCTCCTGCTTCCGCAACTTCTTTTTAGTCCGATCCTTCTCCCAAGCTGTTTGTATCGACTGCTCAAGCTCTGAGTCAGACAGCTCCATGGAAAGCTTTCCGCGCCGACCCTTAGGTCTTTTGCGCAGGCTTGGCCTCTGTTGATCCATGACATCAAAGCCATTATAAGGATCTTGGTCAAGAATATCAGCGAATGCTGTTGCAGAAGGGAAAGTAGACCGAGACCGCTTTGTTCTCTTCGACTTGGAAGGCGCTCGATGAGTCACTGCTCGTTCCCACAGCCCGTCGAGTTGTAATTCCTCTTCGCTGTCTGTCCCAACATCACCTTCGTGGCAAAATATCAGATCATTAGGTCCCAGCCCGAGCTCCTCTTGCTCTGACAATAACGGTGCTGTTTGCGCGTCCGTCATTCTTTCCTTCCTCCTATTTTCAAGATCCTTTTCGTCTTCTTGGTCATCCAAATCCTCCTGCAAGTCTTGTGCCACTTGCTCGTCTAAAGTGAGACTTGCATCGGACACATCGCTACCGTTAAGCAGGCGATCCAACTCTGCCTTGTCCTCGAATTCTGCAATCAATGCTTCGGCGCCAGGAATGTTGAGTGAGCTAATAGGAAACCAGCGAGCGCCATCAACAGTGTACCCTGCCCGGATTACGAGGTATTGCACTCCAGACGGTCTCTCACGCTTCGAAAGAACCTGCTCTATGCTATCTGGAGTCTCATTCGATGTGCTCAACTCATCGAAATCGTCTAAGTCTGCGCTGTCCCATTCCTCGGTGTTCGCCAAGGTCTTCCTTTCCACGCGCCCCGTTGTGAGAGATTCCACTTCGTCCTGCAATACGGCAGTATAAGGACCACCAAGATCGCGTTGGTTGAGCATGGGACTCTCAACAAAAGCCTCCAAATCACCTCCGTCGCGTAGATTTGCTACGTAATCATCTAATATCCCTTCGTCTTTTCTTTCTTTCCTTGAGTGTCTCCCGCGTCTTCCTCGCCCAGATTTGATCGCAGTAACCCCCGAATTGCCATCGAGATGACCTGATGCCCTCTCAGATTCGGACAGTGAGAAGGTTGGTGGTGTCTGTTTCGGAGCGCTTTGGGTTCTTTCAGTTCTAACGTTTATGGGGTCGTCTACCACGGTGGCCATGAAGCTACGGTGTCCAGAGGGGCTTGACATATCTTGGATTCCCTGTCCGTTCAAGCGTCTCGATCGGGCGTCTGAGGTATGCTTCTGGTCGTCTTTCTTGCATGAGTGCCGTCTACCAGCAAAGATAATAATTTCCCCACTCGAATCGGAGCCCGAAGGGGATGACGAACGTCTTATTATGGGTGGCCCGAGACCTGTATGCACCGGCTCATCTGCGCCTTTAAGATCGGTGAAGAAGACTTCCTTGCTCGCTTCCGCATTTTTAAGACCCAGTTGAACGCTGCTTCGCTTGGACATCGAGTCGATCCCGTCTGACTTGGCCTGAGCGGCGGTGGCAGATTTCAGGTCTCTCAATGTCATTTTTGACATTTGTCCGTCAGGCGCCACAACGTATGTTGTGGATTGGTTCTCGGAAGCCTTGGCAGGTGCTCTGCTCGTTTCTTGAAAGGAGCTCTCTGTGACTTCACCACTGTTTTTGCTTTTCTGGATAACAGGATTCAGGTCCTCGACAGTAGAAGTGCCTGCACTGATGAAGGGAACGCGAGAATGCCGGAGTTTCAAATCTGAATTCCACGAATGATGACGTTCTGTGTTACGAGCTTCTTCACTCAAAGAAAAATGTGATTGAGTGAATCCTTGCCTTACATGTAAGCCGCAAGGTTCCTCTTAAAGCATGAGATTTTTTCACTGACCATTGCTTTGCTTTGTATCAAGGTCACTGTTATTCGTAGAGGCCCCGAAGGAAGCACGTAAACCACCGCGAGCACCTGCTTTGTTTGGTGAAGGCCCACCTCCACCCTTGCCTCGCACGCCCCCTCTACCCCTTCCCATCATCGAATGACAGAACAAGTGAATGAATGGATGAATGGATCAAACACAAGACACTCACTCACACAGATAGAACGGAAAAGGTTGATTCTCTTGTGGCACGATTTACGTGCGTCGCACCTGTGGTCTGTTTGTAGGCAGCCCTATCTAATCTTAGCGTTCGGGAACTTATCCAGGTAACCTGACCGGCGTGACCGCCTGCTAAGTACTAAGTGACGGTGGCCTAGTGCGAAACAGCAACTTGTGACACTATGTGATCTCTCTTTTAACTCTACATCGAGTCGGCCCCAAAGATCTTCTTGCCCAGTGTCTGGACTGGAAGCATATGGGCATTCGGGACTTCACGTATATCTATCTACATACTCATCGTTTTCTTAAGAGTTTGAAAGTGCTGACACTTGGACCGCAGTAGATGATACCAAGCCGTTGGAGTGACTGGCTCATTGACGACGCATCATGCAGCAAAGACAGACACATGTAAAGCGTCCACAACCGTATCACAGAACAGCCTGAGATCTTTACCATCTTTTCATGAAGCCAAAACCCTATTCCCTACCATCTATCTCATCTGTCAGATACGACCGCTGCGCTGTGACGCATCGCTCCCGTCCTGCTTGTAAGAAACAAGTGTCTGTTTTTGCAAGGGTCTTATTAGAAGAAGGGGGGTTCTCATTCATCAGCTAGCCCACTACTCAGCTTTTCCTTCAACCAACGATGTCAAGCGTGGACTTTGGCCGCTACAAGCGGATTGTGCAGGCTTTCTGGGACCCCGAGCCAAAGAACGATAATGCTTCAGTATCTTGCATATGGTGCTTGGGCAGAGAATACGTAACTCGGTATACGCCGAACGGATCACGGGGTCCAGAATCTGAAGCTAAAAGGAAAGAGCCAGCTCTCGATGGCCAGGACTGTCATCAAGATGCAAAGAGGGTCAAGCTCGCAGCGACAGACCGGACCTCAGCGGGAGAGCCCGAGGCACAGTCGCATGATAGCGAAGCAGACAGAGGGTGGCCTTCGGAGTTCCTGGATGACTGCGAGTCGCGGCTTTGGTTTACCTACCGCTCCAGTTTTACTGCAATTAAGAAATCATCCGACGCCTCAATGACTCTCTCGGTACGCTTGCGCAGCCTGGGGGATCAAGGAGGCTTCACGTCTGACACAGGCTGGGGGTGCATGATACGGTCTGGACAAAGTCTTCTTGCGAACGCTTTGGTTATGGTGCGCCTGGGAAGAGGTAAGCGTTGTGGCTCGTGACATCCACCAGATTTAACTGATAGAGAATCAGACTGGCGACGAGGAAGGAGGCAAGACGAAGAGCGACAACTTCTCTCTTTATTTTCTGATGATCCTAACGCTCCTTTTTCGATACATCGGTTTGTTGAACACGGTGCTTCGGCTTGTGGGAAGCATCCCGGGGAGTGGTTCGGACCATCTGCCACCGCAAGATGTATACAGTAAGTCTTGTGAATGCCGCTCCTGCAATGCTCGGTGCTGACAATTTGCAGAGCGTTGTCACATGAGTATCAAGGTACAGGACTGAAAGTTTACGTGAACGGTGATGGTGCGGACGTCTATGAGGACAGCTTCTTCAAGCTTGCCAAAGCGAGTGACGGCACCTTCAATCCAACGCTCATCTTGGTAGGAATCAGGCTGGGCATAGATCGAGTGACACCAGCTTACTGGGAAGCACTGAAAGCGTCGCTACAGCTGCCTCAGTCTGTGGGGATAGCAGGTGGTCGTCCTTCGTCCTCGCACTACTTCTTTGGCATTCAGGGAGATCAATTTTTCTACCTAGATCCTCATGTCACGCGTCCCGCCTTGCCTTTCCACAAAAATGCCACAGACTTCACCGAAGAAGAGATAGACTCCTGCCACACTCGAAGACTTCGCAGACTTCCTCTCAAGGATATGGATCCAAGTATGCTTATTGCGTTCCTTATCAAAGATGAAGAGGACTGGAAGAGTTGGCGGAGGGCTATTGGCACCGCGTCAGGGAAACCAGTTGTCCATGTAGCTGACGAAGAACCGTCGTTGCATGGGCATGGTGCAGTGAGGAAGAGTGCAGTAGATGATGTGGAGACTCTGGACGATGAGGATGAAGGGGATGATGGCGAGATGGTTGAGCGTCCCCAGGATTAAGTAGACGTACGTTGTAGTATGAATAGTGTTTGCCACTCCTGAAATTCAAGAATGTCAAAGAAAATTCAACTTTGATCGACCGGGGAATGATAGTATTCGAAGCGGTTTCCGTCAGAAGAGAGGGAGTTGCCTTGGGTGCAACCACCAAGGACCGGACATGTGCTGTCTTGGTTTAGTCACTAGTACAGCAAGGTCAAGCCGCAATGAGCGCTGCTCGCAAGGTTGCCCTCATGCGCCTGTTAAGAGATCACAAGCCTTGCAAAGAGTGAAGAAGCGAGCATCAAAATGTGAGATTCCACATTCAATAGATCAGAAAGGGTCACAGCGGATAGAGATATGGTTTGGCAGGAGAATTCATCGTTTGCTCTTGGTCATCGTATTGTACAGCCAAGTCTCAACCCCTATGCAGACAGAGCAAACCTTTGGCTCCGGATCAAGCCATCCCGTATCACATTATGAAAAGAACCCGAAGAACACCGAGAAAGGACGCGCCTCCTGCTCAACCCCTTAGATATCGCATGCCAAAGCTCCGACCACGGTGGAGAAGCCTATTTGGTGGAAGACGAGTACTTAGTGACGGCCTTTGTGCCTTCCGACACGGCGTGCTTGGCGAGTTCACCAGGGAGGATGAGTCGGACGCTGCAGGAGAGTAAGCGGCCAAGGCAGGCAATGACTTCTAGACTTGACTTACGATGTCTGAATCTCACGGGAGGAAATGGTGGACTTCTTGTTGTATGCAGCTAGCTTGGATGCTTCGGTAGCGACGCGCTCGAAGATATCTGTAGATCAGAATTAGATGTGTCATTGAGGACCGAAACCTTGGATCCTTACCGTTGACGAAGGAGTTGAGGATAGACATGGCACGGTTTGAGATACCGGTATCTGGGTGGACTTGCTTCAATACTAAAAAAAGACGCGTCAGTAATGTTCGAGCAATAGATGAGAATGAAAAGTGAATCCGCTAGGTCCAACCAACACAGTGGGGGGCGACAATGTAATCGAGTAGACACGATCAGGAAGCAGGGAAGAGTGAGATATTCGTACCTTTGTAGATGTAGGAAGAGTAGGTCTCCTTTCTTGTCTTGTTGCGCTTCTTCTTGTCACCTGTAGGCGCCGCGGTCTTCTTGCCAGCCTCCTTCTTCTCGGCAGGTGCTTTTCCGCCAGCAGGTGCCTTTCCGCCGGTGGAGGGCTTCTTTTCAGCAGCCTTGGGAGGCATATTTGATAAATTAGAGATTTGGACTGGGAAGGAGAATGGGTTTGAAGAGTGATGTATGAGTTTGGCTGATATGGGTGCGCAAGATAATTTCGTTGTTGGATGAGATTGATGAGAGAAGATGAAGAAGTTACGGGGCTGCGAGCGAACTTATACTCGCTGGCGGCAGTCGTGATTTGCTTGGCGCGTCCTCCAAACAATAACTAGTCGAAAAGGCTAACCGAGACCATAACATTTTGCGCCTGTAACTCTGTAAGGTACTTACTTTAGGCTTCCCCTAGTAAACTTCCCCGCCCTAGTGATATGATTTTTACCATTCACCTACCAAACCCCCCCCCAAAACTTTGCGCATTTTTGGTTGGTTTTCTTACATGACTCAGCAAACATTACTTGCCCGTCACATCAACCCACTTGCGCTGCTACTACTTAATCCCCATCCGCCTCACAACCTCCTTCTTTCACTCAACCATCCACACGTTACATATCGAACTTACGCCTGCATCCATCACCAACACCAACTCAACCCAAACATCACCCACCTTCAACTCTCGCTCTCAAGAATCCATCAAAATGACTGGAGGTAAATCTGGAGGCAAGGCCAGCGGCAGCAAGACCGCCCAATCGTGAGCCTCATCCTTCTCCTGTCTTGTTGTGGTCATCGGACGCGTCTTCCATTTCGAGTAGACTTCATGCGCAACCCAATATATGCTCCACACACTCAAAGGATACTGGACTGCAGCTAACGTACATATCTTGCAGTCGCTCATCCAAAGCTGGTCTCGCATTCCCAGTCGGCCGTGTTCACCGCCTGTTGAGGAAAGGCAACTACGCCCAGCGTGTTGGTGCTGGTATGAATGCAAATTGTCGCGTTGGACGCGTCTTTCTTATTCTAACATGGTCTTTCAGGTGCACCCGTCTATCTCGCCGCGGTCCTAGAGTACCTAGCTGCTGAGATCCTCGAACTGGCTGGAAACGCCGCCCGCGACAACAAGAAGACCCGTATCATCCCCCGTCATCTCCAGCTCGCCATTCGCAATGACGAGGAATTGAACAAGCTTCTCGGCCACGTCACCATCGCCCAGGGCGGTGTGCTTCCCAACATTCACCAGAGTAAGCTGCCTTGATCCGCTCCCCCGTAATCACACTGACATGACTTCCTTTCTTCCAGATCTCCTCCCCAAGAAGACGACTAAGGGTGGGAAGACGGCTTCTCAAGAGCTGTAGGGTGGTCTCATTGCTTTGGCGCGCAGGTTCATGGTTTCTTTTACTTGCTTCACGTGATAATGGGGTTCGGGGAAGCCAGGTCAATGGCATCGTGGTGCGTTAGGGATGTACATTATGTCCACGGCAGCGACATGATTCTAGACACCCGAGAATCAATCTGATCATACCCATCCAAAACACAACCAACCATTTTTGACGCTTTTCATCATAATTACCGCCTGTCTTGCTCTCAGAACAAGGGCCAAACCAAAATAACACTGTTTCTATTTTTCAAGAGTTCGCAATGCAGCTGCGTTGATTTGTCTTTCGAAACAACTTTACTGCCCAGTTCGTCACCTGGTGTTCGAACTCTCCATGCATCCTCTACACATGCGGAAGTGAAGGCCGAAGACCTTGAAATACAAGATGCGACGGATTTAAAGAAGGCTGGAACATTATTACGGAGACATCGACGAGCCTTTATGCTCTATTTCTCAAAGCCTCAATAAGTTTTTGAAACCTAAAAACCTCCAGTCGCCTCGAAGACACGGAAATGATGAATACTGCTTCCCACGATGAGGTTGTCGCGAGAAGCCCATGGTCACCTCGGCCTACCTATCGGGCCTGGAGTGGATTTCCTACAGAGTCATATGAGGAGGAGCTACGTGATGTGAGCCAGCGATCCGCAAGGCAGTGCTTTTCATGTACATACGGTCTAGGATTGGTGGTGGAATGTTTCTCTCGTATTTTGAACCTGTAGGAATCGTAAGTATCTGTTCTAGATACTGTAAAGAAAAAGGACAACATACCGCCGGGAGCTGTAGGGGGTCTATACGGGTCGGGGTGCTTCCATTTCTCCAGCAATGCCTCTGCCTCCTGAAACAGTACCTAATTTTACCGTCAGTGATATGTGTCTTGGAGATAGCACTGAAATTCCTCTTGCGACTTACTCGCTGCTGACGCGGCTCTCGCACATCTCTATTGGCATCAAAAAGAGATCGGATGTATTGCGCCTGACCGCGCCAGATGTAACGATGGACGGCCCAATCGAGAGCGAGCTTGAGGCTTCGCCGATATAGCGAGCTGGAGCTTAGTGTCAGCCCAGGGCAAGAGAAAGAAGCACAGGGAGGTCCTTAACATACGTGACTGCTTGCTTGCTCGTCATAATGCTTGGGATGAGGCTTGGTGCTCTGCCATCCAAGGACTTCAGTGGAATCCTGACTCAGGATGTCAACGACTCACTTGCATCCGATAGGGTTTTCCGGTCCGCGCGAAGTCCGCCTAATAGTATACGTCAACTGGAAGTACTGGCAGGGTGTTGGTGCGGTACTCGTAGAAAAGAATGAGCGTTTTGCCAAGGCTTGGCACAACCCTAAAATCTCCGCTTCCCGTCATAAGCTCGCTCCCTCGAAGCTCCCTAAACGACATCGCGTACATACAACGGTCATGAGCCATTGAGCGCCAACATTTCTTTGAAGTCCCCAAGTCATATCCTTTCTTTGGCGGCCCTCCCGTTTCGCGTTCGTCCTACGGGACCCTCTTGTCGCAACATGGCGAGTCGGCAATGTTGGAGGGGGTCGATTTCGTCCACACCATTACGGCGAGGGCCGTTGCTTTCGCGCAGCAGTGCAAGAGCTCCCATCGGTACCCGAGTCTTGCCCTCCCGTGCTTGCAATTATCATGTGCAGCCTCGACTTGAGCTTGCCTTGGCCTCCGTAAGGGAAATTAGGTAAACTTTAGCAATGGTAGACTTTGTGGTGGTGCTCACAAGATGTCAGACCCAGTATGCAGAAGCAAAGAAAGCATGTCCCTTTGACACAGATCCGGCTTTATGGTGCGTCTACTGGAACCCGGTGCTTAGGGATACTCTGACGCTTTGCTAGCGGATAAAGTCGTCAAGGTTCCGGAGATGGCAGAATCTATATCGGAAGGCACTCTCAAGCAATGGTCAAAACGTTGGTCTATTGAATTATTCAGAGTTGAGCAACGGAACGCTAAGTACCGTGCAGAGATTGGAGACTATGTGGAGCAGGACGAAGAAATCGCAACAATCGAAACGGATAAGGTACACGTTGTTCACCTAGGCTGCGCGCTGTCCCTTCACTGACACATCATCACGATTAGATTGATGTTGCCGTAAATGCGCCCGAGCCAGGTACCATCAAGGAGTTCCTTGCGAATGAGGAAGACACAGTCACAGTGGGGCAAGATCTTCTAAAATTGGAGCTTGGGGGGCCTCCGAAGGGTGGTGAGAAGCAACAAGGAAGCCAGAAACCGAAATCGCCAGCGCCTGACGAGCAGTCAACTTCATCTGATCCTGAGCCACAGAAAGATAAAGGGAAATCAGAGCAAGAGTCGCCGCCTCCTCCGCCCTCTCCTGAGAAGGAGTCAGAACCATCGAAGCAGGAGAGCAAGCCTAGTCCGCCCCCAAAGGAACCCTCCAAGCACAAAGAGCCGTCACCCAAGCCTCAGGAGTCGAAGAAGCCAGAGCCTAAGTCAAAGGATACGGCACCCTTGGGTAATCGGGAAGAACGTCGGGTAAGCTTCGCCATGGTCAGACAAAAGCAGAACCGACTAACCATACGTGAAGGTAAAAATGAACCGCATGCGCTTGCGCATCTCCGAGCGTTTAAAACAATCTCAGAATACCGCAGCTTCTCTGACAACGTTCAATGAAGTAGACATGTCCAACCTTATGCAGTTCCGAAAACTATACAAGGATGAAGTGCTTAAGAAGACGGGTGTCAAGCTTGGCTTCATGAGCGCTTTCTCCCGTGCCTGCATTCTGGCGATGAGAGATATTCCCGCCGTTAATGCCTCCATCGAGGGCCCAGGTGGAGGTGACACGATAGTCTACAGGGATTACGTTGACATCAGTGTGGCCGTAGCTACTGAAAAGGGTCTGGTAACTCCTGTGGTGCGTAATACGGAGACGCTGGACTTGGTTGGCATTGAAAAGGAAATTGCCGAGCTGGGAAAGAAGGTATGAACCAGGAGCTTGCTCGTAGAGATGGTTGTTGTTGATGACAATATCCAGGCCCGTGATAACAAGTTGACCATCGAGGATATGGCTGGGGGAACGTTTACCATAAGCAATGTGAGTAACTGACGCGAGGAAATTCTTCGCTTATTTCTGAATCGAGTCCAGGGAGGTGTCTTCGGCTCGTTGATGGGAACACCAATCATCAACTTACCGCAGACTGGTACAGTGCATCAAGTTACTTGGTCGTTTGATTGACTAATAGTGACTCAGCGGTTCTCGGTTTGCACGCCATAAAGGAGAAGCCAGTTGCGGTTGATGGCAAGGTGGAGATTCGCCCAGTTCGTACTCTCCTTGCCCGCTTCAGCGACATTCGACTGACCCAGTACCAGATGATGTATCTCGCGCTTACGTACGATCACCGACTGCTGGATGGCAGAGAAGCGGTCGTCTTTCTTGTCAAGGTAAGCTATTGATATCCACGCTGAGACAGGAAGCTGACAGCTCAAAGGTGAAAGAATACATAGAGGACCCAAGAAGGATGCTGCTGGGTTAGACCAGATTACCAGTGATCAAGCGTCGATATTTCGTACAGCTTCGGGTTTGCAACAATCTGTATATAAAAGCCTCAATCACTCTCGATCCTCAAATCAGTAAGAAGATCCGTGACAGACTGCGAATGGATTTGAACACACCAAGCATCTGCTCAACACAATTTTCTCTCGTGTGGTTACCCATGCTAACTACCCTACCAAGCCGCTAGTGCGATGCAGGAGCCCCTTGGATGAGGGGTGTTAGACCCTTACACTCCCCTACGAAAGCCATTTAAATAAGAAACTTATATATTGAAATTTATATAATTAATAAAGGCAGCTACTACGCGTATAGTCTCTATTTAATAAATATATAGCCTCTATTTAATAGACGTATAGCCTCTATCTACTAGGCGTATAGCCTCTCTAATCGAGTTAGCGGCCGCGCGGAAGCTAACGAATATTAATCGAAAATAGTAAAGAACCCGTAGAAGCTAACGGACACTAATCGAAAATGATAAAGAACTCGTATCTAGTCTCTTCGAGATTCTTTAATGATAGTAGAGTAAGCCTTCCTATATCTCTCCCTATAGATTTATAATATCGAACGATTTCAATTCATCGATTAGTAAGATCTTTAAATAATTCTATTAAAAGTAGAATATTAGATATATTAGAAATAATTGAAAGACTAAAAAGACTAATTATTAATTTATGAAATATATAAATATTTATATATATAAAATAGGTAATTAATAGTAACTAGTAATTACTAGCTCTAATAATACGCGATATATATATAATAATCGAAGGGGCTAATATTATAATACTCTCCGATAGTCTTAGAAGCTAGATTTCTTAAATCTTAATATATTAAATCTTATATATATTAGTTTTTAAATTTACGCTTTATATTCGAGATTAATTATTTACCCGATCTCGTTAAATCTATAAAAAACCTCGATAAGAAAAATAGAAAGAGTGCCGAGGCTTTTAAATACCCGTTTCGAGACCTCGAAATAATATAAGAGTTTTTAATATTTTACTCGTATTGCTTCGAAACCTCGAAATAATCTAAGAGTTTTGAAGTTTTATCTATATTATTTCGAGACCTCGGAATAATATAAGAATTTTTAATTTACTTATATTATTTCGAGATCTCGAAATAATATAAGAATTTTAATTAGTTCGGGTTCTCGTATAATATAAGAATTTTTAATTTACTCGTATTATCTCGAGATCTCGAATAAAATAAGAATTTTAGTTCGATATTTTTTATATAAAAATTAAATAACGATAGCCCTCTCGTCGATGAATATAGGTAAAAAAATAGGCTATCGCTATAAGATATATCTATTTATAAACGATTATCGAAGATTTAATTTAATATCTCTTAGAAAGTATAAGAATATTCGATACTATTCTATTCGCTTTCGAGCTTATAATCTATTAAAAGTAGAATACTAGATATATTAGAAATTGATTAAAAGACTAAAAAGACTAATTATTAATTTATAAGATATACGGATATTTATATATATAAAATAGATAATTAATAGTAGCTAATAATTACTAGCTTTAATAATACGCGATATATATACGATAGTCGAAGGGGCTAGTATTATAATAAATTTCTCTATAGCGATAGCTAATTAACTAACTACTCTCTCTACTTACTATAAAAAATATATCTATTATATTTAAATATTTACTATCTATCGACTAGCTAATCTTTCTATATTTAAAACGTATTAAATATAATCTTATTATTCTATATATAGGCCTATATAATATTACCTCGCTATTCTTATATAGTATTATCTTATTATTCTTCTCTTATAATCTATTTAATTTATCTATCTTATCGCTTTTCTTATATAATATCTAATCGTTAAGATAATTACTATAGTAATTATAAGTTTCTTCGCTATAACGCTTATAGTATAGAGATAAATATAAATATACGCTCTAATTTTTATCTATTAAGCGAGAAATATAGATAAATAATAAAATAAGTATTAATTCTATTACTATATTCTATTATAAAAATAATTTAACTCGAAAAAGTTAGATATAAATTTTTTACTATTTTTAATTAATATTAATTAATTTTTATATAATTATTAATTTAATTAAAAGAATTATATATTTAATAGATAAAAACTATATATCTATTAAGTAGAGATTATATATTTAATAATTATCTATTTTTATATTCTCTTTAATTGTTATAATTTTAATTATAATTTAAGAAAAATAAGTAAATTAATAAATAATAATATATTTAGAAATATAAATTTTATTATAGAAGATTATTATAAAGTAGTTTATTAATTAAATTAGATATTATTATAAAAGTATAAAAGTATAATTATAAATCTCTCTTTATATATATAAAGCGAGAGTTATTATTTATTTACCCGTTATTTAATTTCTATATTTATCTTAATTATAAATTTACTCTTTATAAAAAAGATATAAAATAAATTTTATTAATTCTTAAAATCTTAATTTTACGAGTTTTTAATTATTTTACTTTAATATTATTATTATAATTTATCTTATATAAAGTTATAATCTAATTTAATTAAAGTCTTATATAAATAGATAAATACTCTATAAGTTAACTTATCTATTCTATTATTCTATATTTAAAATCTTTTATAATTATAATAATATTTTTATTAATCGAAGTTTATAAAAAAGAGCTAGATTTTTATAAATATAAAGATTTTTATATAAAATTAGAATTTATAAATATAAATAAAATAAAACGCTTTATTTAAAGTGATTAATTTTAATTATATTTCGATATTTATATCTAGATATTACTATAATAAAAAGTCGTAAAATATATAGATATATCTTATAAATAAAGGTTATAATTTATTATAATTAAGAAGTATATACTTATTAGAAAATAATTAAAATCTAATAAGTTTTTAACTCTATTCTCTAATAAATTAAATTAAAATTAAATAAATTATTATACTTATATAATATATAAATAAAGATTTATAAATTAAATTTATAGAGTTAAATTTTAGCTTTAACTCTAAATTAAATTAAATTTTAATCGCTTATTATATATTTTTAATTTATTTTTATTATTATAAAATTAATTTAATTTATATAATATTAGTATATATAAAAGAATAAGATAGAGCTAAGCTTAAAAATCTTGAATTTATATATATATTTAATTATAAATTTAAGTTCTATACGCTTTTTTATTAAATAGATTAAGTTAGTCTAATAGTCTTTCCGCGTCTCTCTTATTAAAAATTTATATATAGAAATTTTATACTTTAAAGTACTTAGCTTACGATATATATAAATACTTTATAATTCCTTAAGTTATAGAGCTCGCTTTACGCTTTCTAACGCTATAAAAACTATAAAGTCTAATCTACTATTAATAAATTAAATAAATATTTAAATATAATAGTTATAATAGTTATATTAGACGCGTTCGAAATTAAATAATAATATATCTCAATCTAAGTGATTTTCGTACGTTTCCGCCGAGTTCGTATTATAAGTACGTTTGCGATTTAGTCTATTAGTGACTTTATTTATTTTATTCTTTTTTTAATTCTCTGTTTGTAACTTTAAAATTTAGTAACTTTAAAATTTTCGTATCTCTATATTCTAGTCTTTTTATATATATGTATTAATATATATTATTATTATATACGTTATTTACGCTATATTGGTTTTTCGTATTTTTTAAATTATTTATTCTTGTCATTTAGTTAGCGTTATATTTTTATTATGCTTTTATCGCCGTTTTTAGACTTTTTTTATTATTCTCTATTGATGACTAAAAAGATTATGTTTTATTACATTTAGTTCTATTTTTTATTCCTTTATATTTCTAATCTTGTTTCAATTTTTACTTTTTATAGTAATCCTTTTATTTATTTATATAATTATTCTTCTTTTATTATTCTATTAATTCTATTAATTTTATTAATATAAATATAATCGTCTTCGATACTTCTCGTCTAAAGATTATTTAATATTTTAAATATATATACTTCTTTTATTCGCCTTTTAAAGCTTCTATTAATACTTTTAAATTATTACTTAATAAATTTATTATTATTAATAATCGAGACTATAAGCGAGCTTAATAGCTATTTACTACTACTTATAAACGCGTTAAAAGACTCTTAAAGAGCTTAAACGAATATATTCTTTTCTATATACTTCTTTTAAGTTAGCGATAATATCTTTTAACTTAATAATACTATCTTCTAAGACGCGTCTTTCTTCTCTATTTATTCTTTATTACTCTATTTTAAAGTCTCTTAACGCGTATTAAATTCTAAATATCGTTAAGAAGAAGCTTTTAAAAATATAATAATTATATTAGACGCGTTCGGGATCGAATAATAATCCTTTCACCTATTTATATAACTATTCTTCTTTTATTATTTTATTAATTCTATTAATTTTACTAATATAAATATATTTATTCTCGATATTCTTATACTTAGTTAAATAAGAGAAGAATTTATAATAGACGAATATAAAGAATATTATAAAGATAATTATTAGTAGTAGTAATATAATAGATCTACTCTTTACGATCTTATATTAATTTACTTAGCTAATATAAGAGAAGTTAATATAATAGATAAATATGAAGGATATTACGAAGAAATTAAGCGGTAATAAGACTATTATCGTTAAGAATACGACTTAGCTCTTTAAGATTTTACGTTATATTAGTTATTTACTTAATTAATTACTTAGCTAGCTACTTAGTCTAATACTCTATAAGAGAAGAAGTAAGAGAAGAAATTATAATAGATAAATACGAAGAATACTATAGAGAAACTAAGTAGTAATAAGATTATTATCGTTAAGAATACGACTTAGCTCTTTAAGATCTTACGTTATATACTCTCTACGATTTCATATTAAATTATTACTTAGTAAGCGAAGAATACTACTATAATTTAATTTATTATTCTTACTATATTAAGAAGTAAGAGAAGAAACTATAATAGATAAA